TTCCCTACAGTACATTACCAGACAGCTCCTCACCATATAACCGTTTAGCAAGGTCTATAATCTCCTGAATTTTTTCTTCTTGTTGAGGCATTGTAGGCTCAATAAACTTGTTAAATTGCTTGTAGAGTGTCTCTATTGCTTCTCTTGTTTTGCATTCTGCAGAATACTTGTCAACTCTAACGACTGTTGCACTCACATCTTCAAACCAAAATTGACACTGAGGGATAAAAACACTACATTATAATGAATTATTATCAGCAGTTCAAGATTTTGCAGAATAGACTGGACTGTTCTTAGACTTTCCATAATCAGTTACATACAGTATGTCTTAAATTTTCTGATTTTAATTTCATGTGAAAAACATTTGTTCATTACCAATGCTGCTTCAATTAATAACTGTTAAATTTTCTTTAAACACTAGATCCACACTCATCTTAGAAGCATAGTGAGGTTATTGGTTAATGGATCTGTAAACATATGTTTTATTTCTGAGTTCTTTCCACCTTGCATATCAACTGACTAATTTTACAAACTTCCTATCATGGCTACAGTTATACGGCTGTAAGGGCAGCAAGGTTGCTTAAATTTAGTCTACTAGCAAACAGGGGTGTTTGTCTCAGCAACCTTTAAAGTTGCCAGGAATCTTTCTAATGACAAGAATGGGCTTTAGAATATACCCTTAATAAACAATTTTAGTTAACAGTACTCAAAGGAGGATAGAATCTGGTGTTCACTCGGTATCATCTGTATTGCATCATTACAGTAAGCAGCTAATCACCGTTTTTAACTGCCATTGAAGTCAGTATTTAAGATTGTGCCTATTTGCTGAAAGAAAACTGTTGAGTAAAAGGTGATACTTTACACTGAGTAGAAAAAAAAAAATCTTAAATTTTAGCTCTAGGAAATAATTTATTTCCCTCAAAGTAAGAGGGGAGTTTAAAAATGTGAATGTACAACAAATGGTAACAAATTGCTAGTGATATATGAAATAACACACTGATCAGGTCACTGGACACTGAAAACATGCTTTAAACAAAACTTTAGTAATGTCATCCATCATTAAGGGAATTTATTTGTCATGCATTTAGATCACTTTGGAGATATGAACAGTGTTGCTTCTAAAAATAAACAATGATGACAGGAATGTGCTTGCCTGATAGCAGATGCACCAACACAACATGGTAAGAGGGAAAATCCTGTTGCAAACTTTTTTTTTTCCTTTTTAAAAAAGGCAATGCATGAAGCAGTCCACAGACACATTAAAATAAAGTTACAGAAGTCTCCAAAAAGACTTAGACTGCGGGTCAGAAAAAAACCCCAACATATACTTAACAATTAATCTAGTAAAAAAAAATTATAGATTGCTGTTAAGGAACTGAATATTTTACATTTTAGTTCCAGAATTACACACCACACAGACAGCTCTTCCTGACAACTAACAAAGTGGGTGTTGTGATAACCTGACTCTTGTGGTTTAAGAGCTATCAAAGAGGGCATTGTGGCACTTTCTCTGTTGCCTGGGAATATACTTAAGAAAATGATCTCATAAGTATGATCATAGATACGCTGAATCACTATGAAAGTCATATGGAGGTGGAGACCCCAGTCGTATGCATAGCAGTTCAAGAATATGGTCATGTTGCATGTTTTTTTTTCCCCCCTTTCTCCACAAGTTACAAAGAAAAAATAGAAGAAAATACAGGCTTTTTACCAATCTATTACTTTTGGAAGCCACAGATTTTGCCTGAAGTAGTTACAGGCACTTGTATCTATCACAGTCCTGGATCATTGTTACAGCCACAGTGGGGATCTCAGGTTTACCTCTTCCATCATCTGTTGTAGATGCTCCATGAGGTCCAGATTTTGCTTGTAATCCTCCACAACTCTGCTAAAGTCATTCAGCTGTTTTTGTAAGTCACTGATTGACCCCAAGAGGACTCTAACTTTAGCATTAGGTTCATTTGCTACAGAGCCAACGACTTTCTTCTCTAAATTACCCATCTTCTTTTTAAGAATCTGTTTAAAAGATGTAGCAATGTTAAATACTGCACAAAAATATTTCTGTTTTTAGAAATAAAAGGTAAATACATGGGGAAAAAACAGACAAACCTATTTCTTGTCTCGTATTTTAAAAATTACAAGTTGCTTTTTCAAAAATCAAAGGAAACTGGAGGGCCTCTACAATACTGACTAAAATAAATGTAAATTATATTTATTAAAGGTGGAATTGAGTTACACTTTTCAGCTTTAAAATAAACAAATATCTGTAGTAATAAAACATGAGATCTTGAATAAAATAATTTTCACTAAATCTGCAATGGAAAAAATACTACTAAGCCTTCAGAGTCTTTGACTAAATACAAGTCAATTTAAGCATCACGGTTATTTATGTCCTAGAATATTTACACATTGCTTAAGAATCTGATGTAAGCCACATCAGTGACAATCTAGCATAATGCCAAAGGCCAAGGGGAACAAGTATTCATACTCATACTTTATGATGTCGGGTATAAACATGGCCTGTAAATTTTAGGATAAGATGGTATACATACATACATTTATATTTTTTATTCTGGGAATACTGGTTTTGACAGTTGATCAAGACTTTGTTGTGCTAGCTGTTTTACAAGTGATGCAAAAAGACAGGTCCTTGATTTTTGTTTGGAAAGGAAGAGATTGGTTTGAAATAGGAAAGAATTTCATCAACTGTCCACATAGACGATTGTAAGAATATACACTGATAGGAAGAGTATTGCCAGCAGGTCAAAGGAGGTGATTATTCTCTTCTACATAGCACTAATGAGGTTACATCTGGAGTCTTGGGTCCACTTTGGGCTCCACAGTACAAGAAATACCTGGACATACTGAAGCAAATCTGGCAAGGGGTTACAAAGATGACTGAGTGATTGAGCACGTGTTATACAAATACAGAGAGAGCTGGGTTTTTTCAGCCTGGAGAAGAGAAGGCTCAAGGTGGATCTTCTCAATGTGTATACAAACATGATGGGAGGGAGTAAAGAAAACAGATCCAGACTCATCTCAGTGGTGTGTGGTGAAAAGACAGGAGGCAACAGACCCAAACTGAAATACAGGAAATTCTATTTCAGAAAAAAAACCCACACTGTTTTTACTCTAAGGGTGGAACAGCTTGCCCCTACAGGTTGTGGAGTCTCCATCTCTGGAGATATTCAAAACCCAACTAGACATGATACATAGCAACCTTCTGTAGCTGACCCTGCTCTGAGGAAGGAATTTCAACTAGGTGATCTCCAGACGTTCCTTCCAACCCCAATGATTCTGTGATTTGAATTCAGATTTGTGGATGAAATTTCCAAGAAAGGGGGGGGAAAAAAAAAAAAAAATTGTAAAAGGAATAGTCAATGACAACAAAAGAAATAGCAAAAATAGAATCATAGAAGCTGCTGAAAATTTGAAGTAAAAAAGTTGTGAAGGAAGAGACTGGCAGGGCAAGCAAAACAAAAAGTGCTACTTCCAACTGGTAACCAAAAGGATCATTGGAAACTTTGGAAGAAGAGTCTCTGGTGAACGCAAGGAATGGGTGAGGTTCTAAGGTGCAAATGAGCATGATCAACTACAGGTAATGGATACAGAAAAAGGTTTTGAACACTTAAATGCTGAAATGAGAAAGACAAGAAACTAGCTGGATCGAAGAGGGAACATGTGCGCATTTGTTGTTGATTTGATGATTTGTACGGGGTATTTGTTTTATTTTTTTTTAATTTTTTTTTTACAGGAGAGGGAACACTAGGTCACACATATCATGAAGGAATAGAGGAAAGAATAAAAGATTAAATAGAAAAAATGATAGAGGATAAAAGAAGTGAACACAGAGAAGTCAGGAATTGAGGTAAGGTCAATTTCACTGAAGGAAATGGAAGAATAAAAGGAACAGAAAATTCAAAAAATTTTCAGGGTAAGGATATAAGGCTGTGTAACAGGGATATAAAGCTAAGTAACAAGGAAGCTCACAACACATTTCACTTCTCCTCTGATCTGCTTGGCACAGGCCACAGCAACTCAACCAGTGAAGCCTTCACTAAGACTAAAATTTCTATTACCTGTATTTTCTCTGCGTATGTGTCAACTTGCTGAATCTGTATCTTTAGAACTTTCAAGTTTCGAGATTTTTCAGTTTTCTTTGTATAGTTAAACTTCAAATTGTTGAATTTCTTTTTGAGATCCTTAAATGACTCTCTGAGCTGAAACAGAGCAAGCATATTTGTTTGTCAGTAAAAAAGAAACCAGCACACTTTAATTTAGGTTTTTTCAAGAGCTGTTTAACAGACCACAATCTGAACACTGAAAATTTAATATAGAAACTAATAATACTATGCCATCTCATAAAACATCCTTATTTCCTCAGAATTTCTTTCTAGTAGTGGAAATTCATGATCCTGTTAAATCAACATTTTTGCATTCTGAATCCTGAGTACTGTTTCCAGAATGGCAAGAACAAAAAAAAAAAAAAAAGAATTGGGGCAAATGCAATTTCAGTTGCCAACTGCCTCTGATCCTTGCTCAGACAATCTATTGAAAAATCCTGTCCGAGACGTTTCACTGATTTTAACTAGATGTAGATGTCCTTCACATACTCTGGTCCATTTAGTGGAAATGGTAGCCATGTAAATGTATACCCATGCTTAGTTTCCAGAAAGACAGTTTTACTGGGCTTGGGCAAGTAGATTTGTATTTATTTATAGTGCTTTTCTCCTACAATACATTTAGTTTATGTCAGGTTGGGTTTTGTTGTTGTTGTTTTTTTTCCTCTTTATTCAGAAGCTCTGCTTCTGAAAGGAAGTTGCAGTGTGCTAGTCCAAACATCTTAGTACAATTATTCACAGTATACAAAGATGAATCCAGCTCTTGTCAGGATCAAGATGTAGACTATATGAGCACCCTACTTTCAAATAACTATTCTATGAGTATGGTAGCAGAGAGATTCTGCCTAACAGATAACCAAAGAAAGCCTCACCTAACTACAGCTAGGTAGATTTGGTACCATGTGATAGTATTTTTACAAGTTAGCACTGACCTGGTGCAGCAAGCTCAACATTAGGGAAAATAATTCTTATAATAATATAAATTAAGATGAACTAGTAGCTCTAATTATGAAGCATCTGTGCCTTTCAAGACTTTTCAGATGGACTTATATCAGCTGAGATAACTACTATTAAATTTAGTTATATAAAATATGCTGTAAAACTCTTTTGTTACTTAGATGGAATGTAGCTACACTTTCTTTAATCTAGAAAATAATTTTAAAATCCAGAATGATATGAATGACACTGATGAAGCTTTAGGAAGGTATGCTTTCATTTACACACATATGGATCACATGCATTGCCAATTTACCAGAATAAGTTTAATACACATTAAAAAGAGTCATATATGATCAACATAATTTTAAAAAGTGTTTATTTACCATGGGAACTAGTTATAATATAGAGTTCTTACATTCTTTCCTTATCTTTTTTTTTCCCAATGCCAATTACCTGTTTGCTTTAATGTCTTTTTGCAAGTGTGCCCTTAATAAACCATATGTCATTCTTTGCATTACCAATGTTATATAAATAAGCATATCAAATATACTCAGCTAAATTATCTTTAAAGGACTATGAATTTTTTAAGTATACAATTTTTTTTTCAACATTTTTTCTCTGAAAGCTATGTAATTTTCAATTTTATTTACAACTGTAAAAAATCCTTTTAGATATTACAGTTAAGTTTTGAATGCCTTTAAACGACAGATATGAGAATCAGAGAAGTAAAAAACCTGCTTAAAATATGCTTATGGTACTTTTAGGTAGTATTTTATTTACATTGCAATTCCATGATCACATTTTCAAATTATATATAATTAATTCATAACATTTGAAATGGAAGAATATAAAAATGACTTTTTTTTTTTTTTGAGAATTTCACTTGCTTTTGGTTGACAATCTTTCGCTTCTGCAAGAATGTAGACTACATTATGTAAAATGATTATTATCTAAAGAAACTGATATAAAAGAAATGCAGCAGTTCTAATGTTTTAGGGTCTGTTCCTCCAGACACACAAATGAAAAGAACTTAACTTGATTCATGTTAACAAATTCAGCCCACATCCACAATTTAATATTTAGTTAAAATATATGAGGTTTTTTTTTATATTAAAAAGTCCTGCAGACTTCCCCCTGCCACCCTCATCCCCACCAAAGAATCCAGGGAGTAATCAATACTCATTTTGCAGCTCCTGTTATTGGAACGGCTAGGAACCAACCATCATTATTATTATTATTACATACTAATGATAATCCATCAAGGGATAGATTTTTCATTTTCATTTCATCTAGTGGGATATTACCACATTATTTCAGCAGTGAATTGACGGATAGTGTTCATTCAGTGTAATGGAAAGGAAGGGAATTCTATCACTGGCACTGAGATCTCCAATTAGTTTAAGCTCTTTATCCTACCTAAATACACAGAACAATAAAATCTATCTAAAAGCCCTCTGTTAATAAAACCACCTCTGCAGAACAATATTTTGTATTCAGAACACAAGAGCCTTATTTGCTGCTTTAATTTTGAGGAAAAGAAGAGATGAACAAGAGTTGATTTTAGTTTAATTTGCTGGCTTATGCATGTACATAGGCTAGTGACCATTTATAAGGCAGGCCTGAGGCTCTCCTCATAGCAGTATGTGAAATTAGATCACCTTGTTTCAGATATGATGGCTCATGTGTCAAAGGTCTGCAGCTGCTGTCAGTCTTCTCTTTTAGCCTCAGTGGAAAAACCAGATTAGGCTCAGACCTGTACATTACCCCCTCAGAGTGCATGTACACAACTCCTGTTATCATTAGCAATTGTATCAAGGACAATATATGGCTGCCAATTTCTAGAAGTCTAAACACATCTCAGTTTTACACTATGTTCTGCAAAATTAAATGAGAAATACTAAAGGAACTATACACTCTAATACGCCCACAAGTTTAATGGAACTTTCTAACTTGTCCATTGTGTCATAGTCATTAATCAGGCAGCTGTTCCTAACTATACTTGGCCTGTCATCAGTGGAGAATGATCGTGGAGGAAAGGGGTTTAGGTGCCAATTGCTCCAACTTATCACACAACTACAAAATAAATGGAAAAAGCAAGTTACCAAGCTGCTCTAAACATGTTTTTGTTAACAGTAGAGTTCCAGGAAAATGCTCTGATTCCTGTGTGAGCCGCTGTAGGAGGTACTTCAGTGTTGTCAGCCGCTTATCTTTCCCTTTTTATTCATACGAAAAATTTTTATTAGCATCAATAATCTAAACAGCCGATGAAAGCAGGTTGCTGAAAATAGATTTTCAAAGTGGCAAAAACTAAAGAAAGAACAGCCAGCCAGAAAGTGGGAAGAAAGAAAAGGTGTTGTTCAAGTAATTAATGATTACTTTAATTCTGAGACCACAATCAAAACAAATTACAAGGTGAGAAACATGCTAAGTATCAGTTCCTACTGACTTGTGAACAGAGATAGCTCATTACCCTCTATGGTTAAAATCCACATTTTCAGTCATACCTTTCCATAAGTGTATAAATAATGACACGACAAAGAGGAAAGAAGTAGGATGACTAGGGAGAGCTGAGAACCTACTTCAGGATCTGTTACTCTTCTGTTTCAAGTTTTGTGCAAACATGCATAAATGTTATTTTCAAAGCGATCACCTAAAGAAACGGCTTTTTCATTGTGAAAGTTATCTTATGTAAATAACTGTGTCACTTATAATCCCATTAACAGATTCAGTGTAGTATTAAACTACAGTTACCTGAGGCCTGACTCAGCTCTATCACAAATGATTGCAGTGTAATGCAGTGGGTTTGCAGCTTTTCAGAGGTTGCAACTCAAGCTACTTAGCGAAGTAGGAAGCCCAAACTGGCAAATGGAGATCTCAAAGGTCATATGAGCTTTCCTTATACCTTTCAAAGATGTAGAGGGCATAATGGGTTTTTTTTCTTTTGCAAATTCTCTTTAAATTAGACAAAGCATACAAAAGACATGCATTTTACTCTTCTGTCCTCCAAGACTGTTTCAAAACTCATGCCATGTATCCTTGGTTATAGATTTAAGTATTCGTTTCCTTGATTCTTATAGAAGCACTAATATTTTACAAACACAGGGAGCTAGTCAAGTCCTCCAAGAATGATATTTTCAAACACCAGTGAATCCTAGTCACCAAAGCCCTTACTCACATGATTTATTTACACACTTAAATTCACTTACATTAATTTATATTTAATGTAGCATTTACAGCAGAATTCCAAGTATTTTCAATGAACTTTAAAGTTTGCTCTGTACACTGCTAAATCACAACTAAATTATCCACTTGGCTGTTTACTATGTGACAGCTATGAACAGCTGCTACTTGCTGCTGGCACATAAATATTTATTTGCTTGGACACAGTAGATGGTAAAAAAATTGTTATTTCAGACAAGTCTGCTAGATACTAGCAATACTCAGACTAATTTCTGATGTTAAAATTAACAGAATTTAAAATACCGAAGTGAATACTCATAACTTTAACATTCTTGAAGTAGTTTAGTGCCTGGCTTCTTGACCCCTGAACAGAATTAGTTATAAATACCTACTGAAAAAAATGAAGAAAAATGGCAGTGGATTAATGCATATACAGGTACATTAGCCAAGTGTTTGTTTTGGAAACATCTTCTGTGCTAAGCTCTACTAGAAAAGGAATCTAAAGAAAAAGGTATCCACATGCCAAATTAGTATGTTTCAGTTGGTTTACATTCAAGAGTCAATTAGCTTTGAGGATGACAGGTTTTAACTTAACCAGCCAACACGACTTTCCAACTTAAAATGAAAAATCAGTAATTAACACTGTAATTGAAAACACACTATGTAATTATTTTGCAGAGGGTGTCTGGTAACTAGGAGAAGCTAAAACTTTACATTTTGCAATACAGGGCCTGTGGTGAGTAACACCTGTCACTGACACACTTTAAATTTGAGAGAGGCAGAAGATTGCTTTTTTCCTCTACTTCCTGCTCTCACTGGAAGTCTAACAAGTAATTAAAATAGAAAAATTATTCTTCTTAGAAAGGACTCACATTCTCCTGCCCTCATTGTATAATCCCAGAATCAAAGGACAGAAACAAGAGATTCATTTAATATAACAGTGTGCCTTTGAATGTGGCCAGTCTTACATACAGACTGCTGAGTGAACATTTCCTTTTCTTCAGCAAATTTGAAAGGTTTTTAGTAAAAATCTAGAACACTTCAGTTCAAACCTCAAGTATTCTCATTCTACCACACCACTGCAAAGCATAATGGGACTTCTTGTTTAGGTAATTCATGTTTTCATTGCCTTCTACCACATGGTTCCCTCTGCCAGAGTGTTTCTCCTATACCACCTGCTGTTCCCTATTGCCTCCTATGATCGGCCAAGAAGCTACATCGCAGGTGAATGATGCACAGAAGATCAGAGTGCGAAGCACGCTCAGCTTATAACTGATCAAGGACTAGTACTGTAACTGAGATTCAGAAAACTCTTTTTTTGATGCACATGTTCTTTCAATTTCAAAATACTTTTTTGTTAAAATTGATACTTTTCACAAACACAGAAAAATATTTTGTAAAAGAAAAGAAAATCAAAGCAATTACTTTCTCATTAAAAATAGTTGGGACAGAAATCTCAGTCGCCTCTACTTTGGTGATTTTGAGAAAATACAGTCTTTCTTTATTCAGGTGTGGATTTACTTAGTGAAAGATAAAATAAGAAAATATAACTTTCAGTGTCCTGTGTTTCCACTACCTATGGGGAAAATTAGTGAGAAATCCTTCCAGGTAAGAATCCATTTCTGTACTTCATGGATGCACAGAAGTGCAATCTACAGAACATCAAGTGTAGAGGCCATCAGCCTCTTATTTTAATGGATCACTCTGAGAAAATTAATTCTATGGAATGTTTTCCCTAAATTAATTTTTTCTGAGACATCTATCCAATTCAAACTGCAAAGTTGTGAGTGGATTTGTATTTGGCCTGCTAGGATGCTAAATTGATAATCATATTAACTAAGTGATTTTTCCTAACCTAAGTTCCATAATACTAAATTCTAATACCTGGTCCCAAAGAATATTTCCTTTTCTTCTAGCAGTTTTTTAAGTATCATATCTTGGGTTTCTGAAAAAATGTTAAGTAATACATTATTCTGAACTTTTCATTAAAAGACTGAAAGTTCTTTCTAATAGCCTTACAACAGCATTATATGTAAATACTATTTTGTTTGAAACTTTAGCTTCATAAAACAGAAATGTGAAGACTCATGTATTTCAGATGTAGCTGACAATGCTGAAAGCCAAAGAAAATACAGCTGCTCTATTTCCATTCCTCTTGGTACAGTGAAAGCATTTTATTGCCAGTCCAACAACTTGCTATAACCCTGAACTGCAGAGGTACGGACCATAGATTATTATGGCTGCTGCATGGATCCAGGGTTCCTAGTAAGATGAAAATCAACATTTCTGTATATGTATGAAGCATCTAGGGGAATGGTAAACAGTAACATATATTACAGAACACAACAGCCCTTCTAACAGTCATTTAATGTGTTGAGATTTATCTAATTTACCTCATTTATGTCCTCTTGAGTGGTGCAGTGTTGAAAATGCTGTGACAGTTCTTCCTCATACTTAGCGGCTTTGGAGCTCCAGTTAATGCTATCACACTCAAATCTAGCAAGTTCTTGCTTCAGATTCTTTACAGAAAGATTCACGCAATTCTAAAAAAGAAATAGACAAACTTATAAAACTCAGGAAATGTACTGATTTAGTCAATCTGAAATGAAAATAATTTTAAGGCAGAACATGCATAGTCAGTCACAATAGGCTAGAGTAAACTATTAAACCTCTACTGTAACAACAGCAAGGACATAGCAGTTTCAATCACTAGCGGTCTGAGGAGTAGTTTTGAGTCAAAGTCACAACTCACACATGGTGTCTTCTCTGAGCAAAGAGGAAGTGGCCTATTCTAGTCCTTTACCACCTGGAGATTAGCTCCTTTCTGCTGTCAATCAATTTATGGAATCTGAAGAACAGACTGGCAATGTGGATAATCTAAGCAGGTCTAAGGGAATTTCTTGCTTTCTTCATAGTAAATGAATACAGAGCAATGACAATCCTGCCCTAAATAAATAAATCTTTCCTATAATTACATCCATCTTGCCATGCAAATCACTCTTGAATCCACTAATACAGTTACACTGTTATTATATTTCCTTTTCATTCTTTTGTTATCCTTTCTTTATAGGAGAATAAATAGACCAAGCAATCTTTAAAAAGTAGCTGGAGTCTAATATATAGATGTGACATTCAAGAAATCACCAACAGGGCCTTGAACTGCTTAAAGAATACTAGAGATCAGAAAGTCATGCTTTTTTTTTTTTTCCCAAGCAATAATATTTTAAGATTAATTTCCTCCCTATTTCAAATCTATTCCAGTGTTTTCCAGACTAAAATCTGTTCACAGACCATTAAAAAAAAATCAAAACAAGATTCCAAATAAATTAATTTTTCTTTTCTCTTGGCAAAAGCAATTCGTAATGTAAGTAACTACTGAAGAATAAGTTTCATCATTCCTGGATGTTCCATTTAATTTAACAGCTGTATATCTGCAAACTTTAAAAGTACAAATCTAAAAATTATCAACTGTTTTACATTTCATGTTTTGCTTTTTTTTAAAAGGACCTTAAAAGTCTGTATTTATTTTTCTCAGTGTATTAATATATTTTTGTACCTCTAAAAGTCAGTCAGATAGCTCAGTCTTCTTTCATATTTATCCTTGAATTAACAAATCATCCTAATTCTACTCACAGGTTGCTGCACTGCAGACAAGATATCCACTCCCTGGGTAATAAGCAGTTTATATAGCTGTCTGATATGTGCATGTTTCTCCTGGGCATTCACAAGGTAGACTTTAGCATGGTGCACATTTTCAGGCTCCTCAAATATTTCAGGAATATCCAGTTCTCCTGATTTTGATAGACATTCCAGCTGGAATATATTGAAATGAAAATCAATGAGTGTTTAAAATAATGTGAAAGGAAGCTTACAATTCCTTCCTTACCCAAAATATGTTACACTAAACTTTGTTGATGTTAAGTAATTAAATTTGGATTCAGATCTGAATTTTAAGTTCTCCAAAGTTCATGCAGTTTTAAGATCAAAACTTTTAATTCTGATCACCAGGTGGGTTAATGCTCTTTGGGGAAAATAATAATAAAAAAAAAAGATGACAGATGACAGGCACTAAAACCAAAAAGAGTTTAACTGCATCGAGAAGAAGGTATATTTTAAAAGATTACACTCACTTCTTTTTTAATGTAATGGAATTTGACTGTCTTGTTGAAAATCTCATCATATTCTGTCATTGTGTCCTTTACCGTTTGATGGAAATTAATAAGCTCACTTATTCTCTCAGAATTCTCTTTCACAGGAAATCCTTTCTGGCTTGGCAATTCTAATAATTTTATCACGTACTCAAGCTCAGCATTCAGTTGCTAGCAAAAAAGCAGAAGTTACTCAAATTACACAAATATATTTGCAAGTTTTCCCTTACATTTGATGAAATAACAGCCTAACACCGGTAAATTTCCTTGAGGAAAAGTCAATGCCATGCTCTTTGAAACACTCTCCACATACTTCACTTTTTGCTACACATGAATCTCAGCTATCACCCAGGAACAGCCTTGGATCAAAATCAGTCAAACTGACTTGTAGGGGAATGGCAGACTGAATTGCTAGAACTCAGAAACAGTATTCAGAGGAGGTAGGAAGCTCCTTGTGACATACCTCAGCCTCTGACCAGCTCTATCTCAAAAGCATGGAGCTGATATTCTCCTTGTACTTCTACCACCTCAATGCTTATGTGTCACTTTTAACACACAGCTAACACCACACAAGATATTCTCTGGACGCTGAAGGTAAAATATCTTCTCCCTGACCTTATAAACACACACAAGCTCCTCCATCTGGAAAAGTAATATAAAACATAAAACACTGCAACCGAGACACACTCTCTAGGGTCAATGTCAATGTGAATCTTTACTAAAAAAAGGTTTTGATCCCCCATGCATTTCACTAGCTCAGTTTCTCACCTGATACTGTGGTTTCATTTGGTTAAGCTTTTCTTGTAGTTCCAAAATGATAAAAAGGTCACTTCCAAGGTCAACTGTTGCTGCAAACTGGAGTGCCTCTTGAAGAGTCTGTAATCCATGGGTAGTCTAAAAGATAATCAAACAGTTCAGTCTTTCTAGACTGTAGTAAATAAATTAAAAAAAAAAAATTAAACTCAAATCTAGATTTGTAACAAGAACCTTCCCCAAACCAGACACCCAAATGCTGTCAGTGAAACCTCTTTGTCTCAAACCTTCTGACTGACAAGGGTGACAGGAAATCTCTAAGTGTGCAAAAACAATTCAGATATCGAGACTGGAGGACTCATACACACAGTGTATTTTCTGTGATAACAGATGTCATGGTTTAGTGATAAGTTGCACTAGACAAACAGCAGCTACAAACCTCTGGTTCTGCTAAAAGCAGGGCTAGCTAGGCTAGTAAGGAAAACTGCACGCTGTCCTTCTGCCAAGGAGGTTTCAATTCTCTTTCCTTACAAACATGGTTGGACTTGAGTTTTGTAACTATTAGATCACAGTTTAGTAATTATTATATCACAACAAAATGGTGCTTTTTTTAAAAAAAAAAAAAAAACCACCACAAATAAAAAAACTAAAGCACTGCTGGTATAGTATATAGACTTGGTTAAAAAGTTAAAATTTAAGTGGGGACTTGGACTTGTAAGTGTTCAAATAAGGGCAAAAAAGACCAACGGTGATATTTTACTTACAATTTTTAGTTGTTCTTTAAATATCTGGCACTGTTGCTTGACGGGTTTTATCTGAGTGATTTTAAAATTCCAGATTGCCCAAAGATCGGTCAGCTCTTTCTTTTCTTTACTCAGATTAACAATGATATCTTCTGTTACTCGTACAGATTTTTCTACTTTTAATATTAAACTCTCATTTACCTGGCAAATAAACACACACTTTTTTTCCACATATGTTTTTATGAAGTACAATTAAAACCTCATAATATTAAAGTCTTAATAAAGCTTAATAAAAACCAACTATTCTAGTTTAACTTCTTTGAAAATTTCTGGTACTCTAGGTGATTTAAATACACTTTTCTCTTAGAAATAGGCATAGATCAACAGAATTTGTATACTGAGGACACGGCTAATGTTAAAGTCTAAAACCTACAACAGGTCAGTAATGACTGAATTATTGTCATCTGATAGCTGTTTAATGCTCATACAAAAGAAATTTCTGAATAGACAGAATTACCCAGAATGGTCTTTTGGGGAACACCAACTGGAAAGTGAAGTGGATGAAGAAAAGACCACTCCTTTGTGCTGATAACCAAAGCAGCACTGAAGCATGGGAGGGATAAAGTGTCTAGCATTTGAACATTTAGTGTTTGGTTTTTTTCTTTAAAACAGAGCCCGTATCAGAAATACCAGAAAACCGGTTAATGCTGTTTCTGCTTTTCCCATTTCAGAATTTTTCTTTTAAGAAAAGTTGTGTTTGTAAATTACTTGTATGATCCATATCTTCCAGATGCTTAAAAGCTACAACCTAAGAATATCACGGGAACAGAGCAGCAGAAAATACGGTGGCAACACACTTCCAGGTCTTTAGAGAGATAATATCTGAAGGTATGTTAAGACTTCCAGTGATTGCAGTGCAACCTTATATTCACACATATTCAGCTTGCCTTTACACTGACTATCTTATTCATGGTTGGCTGCATCCAGCTATGACAGCACACGCTTTAGCCCACAGTAACTACCTGAGCAGTTTCCCTCCTTAAGCAGGTTTTTCCAGCTCATCTTGCATGTTGCTGTATGTTAACACCAGCTCCCCCTTCCCACCCTACTGTAACAGCTTCCTAGTCTGTCCTACAAAACCACAAAGAACAGCTGGGTAGCCAGGCCATCTGCATTAATTGGGATCACTTTAGGAGGAGTGGCTTAGGGAATGATTGCACATTGCAAATAGCCATCTCATGAAGATGTGCTGGAAAATTAGATAGGGTTGCCTAGGCAGTGCAGCTGAACCCAAGACAGAATGTAAAGACACCAGGAAAGATCACCTGTAAGGAAGTAGCTCTAGCACCCATTTCTTTAGAAGAACTTCATACACTCAATTAGTAAAGACTGCCTCTCAGTGGAAGTAAAATAAGCTTAATACTGTACTTGCATATATTCTGCTTTCCCACATGAATAGAAGAGATACGTACATGTATTGTATTTGTATGCATGTACTGGATCATTTATTAAGGGCTCTGTCATTGTTAATCACAAAACGTTTCAAATTACTTATCATACCTTTAGCACTCAAATAATACTTCCATATTTTAAAAGCATATAGCAGCCTTAGTCTCTTTAAAACTAGGTACTGGAGAAATCACAATCCAGTCACAGAACAAGGATTAGACCTCATCACAGGCAAACATCAAATATTCAATACAGTTTATCAGATCACACTCACCATATTTACTAAATTAAGAAAATTGCAACCCATATTTTGGGTGGAAAAAATCTTCTTTATAGCCTTTTGCCAATGAATATTAGCTGACTCCATTGTAATTTTATTTTCAGTCTCCCTGCTTGTTTGTAGTTGTTCTGATTTATAGAATTCCTTCATATTTTGAATGTCATCATTCACCTACAGAAAGACATAAAATAAGCATCAAAAAACAACTGAAAAATTGAGCTGCTATAATCAGAAGTTATACAGACATGACAAAATTGAACAGCAGCCTCTGAATCTTGTCCAGGTTTTAAGATCTATCAACCTCCCTAAAATCTATACAAATACTAAATAAGAACAAAGTTTTAAATAACCTGTAAACCAGTAGATGACAAGCAGATAGGTGGCAGCAATTTGTTCAATTTCTGTCACATATCATTATATGGATATTATATACCACTGCATCAATGCAATGATTGTCACAGATCTATTGCATACGAAGTAACTGAAGTTAGCAATAATCGGAAGTAAATGCAATCCAATTTTTTGGCAGTTTATCTTCAAATAAATAAATCCTACGGCTAATTTTACCTGATAAGATCCACTCTGTCCTCAATTCCTTTCTGAATATAAAAGAAAAACAGTGTTGTGGAATCTTAAAACATGCATTACATCAAAATGAAAATTAACTGCCATAGGCATCATTAGCACAGCTACCAAAATTATTTTGATATTGAATTGACTATGATTTCAGTTAGAGCTGGTTTGTGTCTAAGTTTTAAACCCCTTCAGATGAATTAGCACTTCAGTGAAAGTAGTGCAAGACTGTGATAAATAGCTCTATCAACATATTATAATATGATAAATATCTATATTGATATACTGTGTGAAATATTTTTAAAACTATATGAAGCAAAATCAGTAAATTTAAAAGTCAGTACATACACGTAAGCATTTTTATTGTGTATATAATGAGAGCACATGTGCACAGAGGAAAAAGTAAAAATTCGATTATAATACTTCCTACACTAGGGATTTAAATCAGCAGAAAATCTGTACATAGACTGTCATTATGTTGATGCAAGTTCAATGATCAGGGCTGCTTTCCCTGATGCAACAGATCTCCTTTGAATTAGAAAGAGGCTTACAAAGACTTGCAGTGCTTCTATGGCACAGCATCTACAGGATTGGTCTTAGGTAGCTAAAAGCATATTTTTCACTTGCAAGATTTTCACAATCTAGTCAGAGAATAAATAAGTAATCTGTACCTCCATAGCTGACTTTAAAAAGGCCACATAGGCTTCTAGAATTTCTAGTTTTGAACTGATTTTTTTTTCAATTTTTTTCAGTTCTTCATTCAAAAAGTCAGTTCTGCTAGAAAAAGCTGCCACCTGCTCAGGTTCAAACTCCTCCATATCTCTGACGATCCTTTCAGCTGCTTCCAGTTCATGTAAAGTTTCCTTTGAGGGTACAAGCATAGAACAATATGTATAATGACTGAAAAGGACTTGTGAATACTTATATCACATTGTTAATTTTTACTAGTATTGCTTTCTTATGTATAACTCAATTACTTCGTTGAAGAAGAGCTCACAATGGACATTCTATGCTGAAAATAATTTCTTTCAAAAAAACTATGGATGTAGTTATTAAAATAGCTATTTTGAATGGACAAAAATTAGGAATCTCCATATTCAGATTAAGTAAACCACTTCAGAGTGTAAGAATGAAAATAATAGAAACGTTCCATATGGGAACATCAATAGCCAGAACTGATACAATTCCTCTAATGAACTGTATAGCTCAATTTTCTGAACTGATTCTCTTGAGTTTAAATCCCTCTTAACTGCTTGTCTGATATTCAATTCTCATAGAAGAAATCAGTGTCCTCTCTAGAGTGAGACTCCAGAAGCACTGGGTCCTCATAAAGCTACTGCTGTAATTGTTTTACAGTCTGTCCTTGTAGCAACTTACCTTACGAATCTTAGTTCCACTCATACCTTCATTCTTGAATCAACAATTGCTTCCTAGCTCCAGACTAGTCCCTACCCATCAAGCTAGACTGCCTCACATTCCAACTCAAACCAATGTTCTTGCATGCAGCAAATCTGCAGAAATCAGATGGAGATCAAATACTGGGTTGTATCTGTTACTTCGTCAACTGCTCAGACCCAGAAGAAACTCAGAGTCTGCTGTCTGAGCAAGAGCTGAGTTACTAACATTTTCCATGATTCAGATGGGATTCTGGTTTTCAGATTTACTGTCTTGACTCACAGCTTCATACATCTAATGTCTATGTGCTTACCTACTTTATGTATTTAACTCAATACCACTTAGCATATCTACCTCTGGCATTCAGTCAGGAGCGCAAACTCTAGCTTATCACAATCCACAGAAAGAATAGGTAGAAGAGGTTACTATTGTCAGGGCAGATTGTACACTGCAACAAAGGTAACACCCTGGCATGCAAAAATTTGGCAGAAAAGACACTAAAAACTATTACACAGTCTGGTGGAATGAAAAGGGGCTCTTGCTCAACTGCTGAACTTTTTATATTCTTACTATGTGCTCTCCAGAATTACTTTAAAGCGAATTTTATTTCCACAGACACTGTCCAGATCCAGCTCTTGGGTTCCATAAACTGTTGCCTGAAACGAAAAAGAACTCCACAGGAGTAACAGAGTTTTAAGAACTCTTAAAACATAGGATACTCCTAAAATACATACTGCCACGTTGTTCAACTTAGCCATGAAATATGCACCTGTGCCAAGACCATGGAGGGGATACAACTAGTTTTGAGCCACTTTCAGGTATTGCAGTACTGCTACAGGAGTTGGAAAGGCCTTGGGTGTGACTTAAAAATAGCCTCATCTGTGTTACAGAGCTGAGTGCTGCAGTGCTTTCATATCATGGCTGCATTCCCAACATGACCAATGGATATCTGATGGCAACTTTACAGCCCCCTTCAAAAGTTTCTCTACCTGGGCATTGCTTTTTCCTTTTTTGCTCATTCATTCCTTTTATTTGGCATAATAAGCCACAAGAAGAGTTTTCTGTGCCTCTGACTGTCTAGAAAATTTTTAAACTTGGTGACCTGGGTAGGAGTAGTAGCAATCCACATTTGAAGACTCTTCCTATCAAGGGTTGATACTGGGATCCTGAGGCAGTAACAACATGATGAAATAGAGACAATGGGGATGACCAATGATATAAGAAAGACTGACTTGTAATGTTATCTATGGTTTTGTTCATTAACTACCGTTATAAACTAAACTATAGACCTATTTTCTTTCCAAGAATTTATAAGAAACTCTCAGTCTCTCACCTTATTTAGAATTACATACAGCATGCATTTGTTTCTAAAAGTACTTAACGTTATTAATTTTTTTTTCTTTTTTTACCTTTGTTTGTTTAGCCAGTTCAAGGTGTTTGTTCAAAACTCTTTCCGACTCAGACAAATATGAACCAATCTCCATACCAACTTCAAGTATCAGGGTGAGTTTTTTAATTGACTGCGATACCTTTATTTGAAAGCATTTTTCATACAGTTAACTTACACAAGTAGGCAGTATAAAAACAGTATAAAACATCACTTTGTATAGAAAAAGGTGAAGTAACAATTGTCTGTCGGTGTTTAGATTATGTACTTTATTATAATCAGAGAAAATCAGGAATGAAAAGTCATTGAAAAGTCATTAAAAAGGTTTGCAGTACTACAGAACATTCAATAGCTTAAAGAAGGCTGTGATGTCCTTGATACATCAGTATCTTAATGAAGAAGGGGAATTTTTATAATAAACAAAATCTACTCTTCTTCAGTCTTGCTGAAAATTTGCTGTGGTTCATGGTCACTGTGCTTATTATACCTCAGTTTTACCACACTTCTATTTTTGTCTTCAGCCAAATGAAACAGAAGACATAGAAACAGTATAGGAAACATGCATGCAGGTCAAAGTCCTGATCGCTCACTTCTTTTCCAAAGAACAAATTATAATAGCTCATTATCTAAGCAAATCCATGCTTTATTGAAGATCACTGGTAAAGTATTCTCATGGAAACAGCTTCCTTTTTCAAAATAGCTTTAGGTTTATTTGTGCTGATAACAGCATTCAGCATTCTAACTAAAACTGTGCACTCTCTAACAAACTAATATGTTATTTCTAATTATTTGAGTCAACTTCAATATTCACATAGCTAAAATACAGAAATGCAATGCACTGTTCATGAACACATTAAGAAGAAGTGTTATGATGTACCTTATTTAGATGATCTTCAAGTGAAGCAATCCATTGCTGTTTCCTCAAAGTAAGTTCTTTATGATCTGGACACTGCCTGATTATTTGATCTACTTCTTTTTTAACATATTCCATCATTTTCTGAATTCCTGTCACCCAAGAGCTAAAGTGGAAAAGTAGAACTGTTGTTATTTCTCATTTTTCCTCAACAATCTGGATGATAATGATTCAAAAAAGACTCAACACTTTTTCTGTTGGTTTGTATAAGTAACTTTTAAACTGTGACCCTTAAAAGAAAAATAACCAAGAGAAATATTAAAATGAATCCGAACAAAATTGATAATGAGTAGAACACAGAAACGACATTTCCAAACAACTCATTTATCACTAGTGCATGTTAGATTCATATGCCAGATGTCCTGATTCACTGAGAAATACCTCTTTTCACAAATAATTCTGACTTCAATTGTACTATCTAAATACTAAAATCACAAATGGAACAGCCTAAAAAGAGTGAAAAATATATGGCATATCGCTTCTACTTTAAAAAGAATGTTTTCTTTGGACTTACAAATATTTCAGTCTTTTTACAGTAGATGAAAAAGGAATATCATATACATTGTAAGTCAACCTTTATAGATGATGTTTCAACACAAGGAAAGACAACGTCAATTTACAAAACAATGGCTTGGCTTTTAACTTAAAACATTTAATATCAGGGAAGAAATTCACAATCTGAATACTTGAGGTCCTTGTCTTCAAATTGTAAAGAAGTTACCACATATGATTAAGATCTGAAGTTCTGATAAAAAAAAAAGAAGAAACCCACATATAATCAATTTACTACTGAAATTTATTCATCATAATAATTTTTTTAAGACAAACATGTTCAAAAAGAGTTTTTCATCAGAACCTTACATTAATACAGGTATTTATTCAAGGTTTCCTCCTTTGTCCTCTAAAATTAAAGGAAATTTTCTTCTCACTCCAGATCAGGCTCAGAGAGTTAAATTCTGCAACGTCAAATGAAAACCTTATTCTACACTACTAACATGATTTATGGTATTAATAGACCATTCTGTTTAAATCTGATCCAAGAACTGGTCCAAGAGAAACCAAATTTTAAGTCCTTTTTAGGGAGCAGGTGGTTTCAAATTTTGTGAATTACTCTCTCAAAAATTAGCAACCTGTTAGTTTGTGTTTTATCCTTAATTTTGAAAAATGTCACTCCTCTATTTCAGTACTCCTTAAAAAGAGGTATGTTTAAAAATGTCTATTAGCACCACTCCTTTAAAAAAAAAGTAATAAGAGAACAAGATTTATAATCTTTGAAAATGATAATTTACATCTCAATAAAGTCTTTGAAGTATCATTGGTTTGTTAGGAATTAACACAATAAATTTATAACAGCAGTAAAAGACAGTTCTTACACTCATAGGCAAGCTAATTGGCTGGCAAAGTAACAAGGGTTCTCTTAATGGACAAAACTGATTGTATATTTTCTTTTACAATGAATACGTATAAATTTTTGCTCCTCCTGTTTTTCTAGCTGATTTGAAAAATATGAGAGCTCAAAAATCAGACTAGCCAACATTTTCATTTTTAAACACTCTAGGATTACAGGAAAGAACCATCTTCTGTCACTTTTCTATAATCTATTCCTCTTCCAATGTGAACACTTTCAGCTTTTTCATTTATTTGGACTATCTTTTAGTATAAGGCTGCAACATGCCTCAGGAAGACTTGAAAGTAGGACAGAATTAACATCATATTTCTCAATACTTACTGTGAGTTGGATTTCCAATTATGCCACCGAAGTCACTGTCACTAGCCTTAAACATAGTCCTCCCTCAATGTAAGTGTATCAGTATTAGATTTGTAAATCATAAACTACTAGAACTGTCTTACCATATGCATACAAACTGCCTGGCTTATTTTTGGGTACTCTAAAATTGAAAATAACAAAATAATGTGGATACAGAAATCCATCTACATCTTAATTCTCTTGATGTTCAAGTACTGTATCTTCCCTTGGTACATTTAAACTACTACTACACATGGCAGCCATTTTGATACTGCATTAAAAATGCATTTTCCAGTATCCTCATTCAGTGCAATTCAGGGCATTATCTCATCAAAATCGACAAAGTGTCACTCAACCTGAGCAAGGTCAGATGATTCATTATCAAAAAAATATATTGTCCAAAAAACTGGACAATCTGGCTTCTTTTTTAAAGCTAGTAAAGTCATGCAAGTAGCAGTGCATGCAATACCTTCTCTATCACAAATGATGAAGGAATTCTAAAATTACTGTGCTCCAACGACTCCTTCAGGGAGCTGGCAGTTATTTTCAAATTCCACAGAAACATGTACTTGCTGCCAAGATGCCAAGAATCCTACCAGACTGCAAACACTTAACAGCTATGTATCTCATTGTCAGATTATACTTTTTTGTCTGTCTTACAGCAAAGCAGCTTTTTGAAAAGATATCTAAACTTTTTCAGATCCATACCTCTCACTGCCTTCAAATAGTGACTGCCCATTTCTCTCAGGATTTCCAGTCTGTTTAGATAAAGGAAACGGGAAGTCTGTGAGGGAAGTTAAGACTACCGATGAATTGTGTAATACGGGCAACAAAATAATAATCAGGATCTAGTCTTGATAGGAGTTCTGTTTTCTGTCCAAATTTTCCTCCTTTGACCCTCAGCTGTTCATACAAATCTTGTTGTCCCATGTGGGTTAATCACTGGGCTAAATACTGGCCAGCATTTAAGGATAGCACAGTGGCTTATATGTGACCGAGAGAGGCATCTCTTTCCTCTTTCAAAACATGGACATTTCTGGGGAAGATAAGCATTCTGGAACATATCACCTTACCACATTTGCTGACAGAACTCACTGCATCACCACTACTAGGCTTATGAGCTGGCTGGGAGCATTCTGATTACCTCCTAAAGCCATGGCTTACGCTAAAAAAATAGACTTGTCTTGGTGTACAGAAAGTTGAATGTGAGTCTGGATCATCCTTGTGGCATTGAAGACTAGCCCTGTGCTGAGTTGCATCTGGAAAAGACTAGCCAGCAGGTTACTCCTCTCTGTTAAGGGCTTGTGAAACTGCATCTGGAGGTCAGTCTGTCCAGTTTGGGTCCCCACAGCACAAGACAGACAAGCTGAAGTGAACTGAGAAGAGGCCACCAAGCTGGTTGGAGGCTGGAGTAAGTGATATACAAGGGGGTGCTGACAGAACTCTGTTCAGAGTAGAGATTAACAGATAATGAACTTCTCATTATCTATGAGGAAGCAGGGTTATACAAAAGACAGGATCAGAGTCTTCTCAGAGGTGTACAGCAAAAGGGCAAGAGGCAATGCTCACATTGCTGCAACAGAAATTTTGGCTAGATACAAGAAAAATGTGTTTCACAAGGACAGTGTTTAAGCACTAGAAGAGGTTGCCCAGAGTCCAGACTATGGAATCTCCATCCTTGGAGATATAAAAAATTTCGCCCTGAGCAACCTAATCTAACTGACAGGTTTTGAGCAAGGGATTGCGCCAAATGACCTCCAGAGTCCCTTGCAAATATAAATTATTCCATGATTGTAATCCTCATGCCCATGCCTAGGAATATAAAGTGCTCCGCCTGCACAGAGGTATTAGCACTACTCATTGAAATCTATTGCAAATTCATTACATTCAGGCAATGAGGCCTGAAGGCAGCAGGGAAAAACTGAGAAGCCATAATATCCTGTGTTTGCTTTCTTAGAAAGGGACTTATTTATTCTTATGATGCAAACAGACATTTAAAATATTTGAGAGCCTTGGATTTTTCACTGTTCTTTAGAAACAGAGAAACACATTTCTAGTGAGATTGCCTATTGATATTAAGTTTCATGTTGCTTCTCTAAATCACTGCTACTTCAGCTGTAATGCTTTGCCATTTTTTAAATTATAATGTCTTCTAGGCAGAAATCTCACCTTTTTTATTTATTTATAGAATATCTTGAGGAGCTCTTTGGCACACAGCAGTTCTGCCTGTGGCATTACCTGTTTTTATTGAATTTTACCAGAAATGACTGATAGGGTTATTTTGACAAATTCATCCCATCCTCCTTGATGCGTACCGATGATATCTTACTATCACACTGCTGATGTGGACTGTTTAAAATTTTTTTAAGAACTCTTAATAAGGAAGAAAGAAAATTAATGACTTGTTATTTTAGGGATTCTTTCTATCAAGGTCTTTAGTGTTCCTAACATTAATCAATGCTGGGCAGGCATAATTTGAAACACATCTGCTTCTGTTGAGGTAATGTCTAGCAGAACACCAAGTATGAGAGAACAGCAGCATGTGTTCTGGAATTATGGCTGGTTTAAGAATCAAAGTCAAAGTTTCACTGAGGAAACTCTCTTTCCTTTCTATTCAATTAAAATATCAGGAGATGCTGAAGCAGTAGCAATAGCTGTAAAGCCAACTGCATGTGTTCCCAAAATAACTTTCTATTTGAATTTTCTATTTCATCCCTTTGCTAGGTTCAAGCCAATTACATCTAGGGTAACAGGTGAAGGCACTTTAAACAAAAATTTTTTTTGCAAGGTCATGAGATTAAATAAAAATCTTATCTAGAGTTTCAGTTGTTGAGTTGAAGTAAAGCTATTCAATGTTCAAGAATAACCAAGGACATTAGCATGTAATAGGAAAGTATAGCTAAGCTGACCACTAGCCAACCATCAGCCATAGTCATCTGTTCTGTCTTTGAAGTAGAACTCATTAGTATAAATGGTCTTCATTCTTATTGCACCAGCCTCCTACTAAGACCTGAAAAGTAGGAGATATTAAGCCACTAGGAGTGATTCTAAACTAAGCTATGCTTTACATCAGTGTAAAAATCATATCTGTGGAGTAAATCATCACTGTAATTAACAAAAGCTTTGGAAGAAAAAAAAAAGTTATTTCATTCATGAATTAAGACTACTAAGATTTGGAGAAATTTCCGTATTTTCTGCATTTGGCTTAACAGCTGTATTTTTGTCTTGCATCAAATTACATTATAATTGCTACAGTGAGGATTATATCGGACAGCGGGGAGTGCTCATAGTCATTCATATTTTAATTTTCATTTACATACACTTACTCTGCCAAAACGTTAATTAAATCATTGTTTCTGAACACTGCCCTAACATACCAATTCCACTGTTTGACACTGCTCTTATAAGTAGCATGCAGTATTCCTGAAGATTTTTATTAAAGAGATTGGTTTGTATAAGTAACAACAGTTAAGTACAAGTTTCTGAAACTTTGAGTTTCGAGGTCATTGAAATGCACACCTACTTAGTTAACGACACTGGCTCTAAATGCAGTCTGATTCTAACTAGTTGAGTTATAAAGCAACAGATAGATACAGAGAAATGCAGCAGATATGCAAAAATGGAGGGAATACCTGTGAGAATCTGCTTTATTAACTAAAGTTTGTCCCTTTTGCAAAGTAGTCACTGTGCAACCTTTAATTGCTTCTTGTAATTCCTCATACTTCATTGTCAAGATAGGCAAATGTAAGACTTTCGAATTAAAGATTCTAAGGTAATTCTCAATACCTTCAAGACCATAAAGTACCTGCAAAAAAAAAAAAAAAAAAAAAGGCATCTGTTCTCAATCTTTCTATTTAAAACGTGCATGTATATTCTTTTACATACATAGATGATCGATAGACATTTAACATTTGACGTTTCTTCACAAGTAAAAAGCAGTATTTTAATTTAGGGCCTAATTTTGACTTTGCAGGTCACAGAAGAACACAGGTATAATTCAACAAAACTCAATGTATGTATGAGCATGCAAAATCATGATTATTCTTAGAATTTATTCCATTTTTTCAGCAATAGTCAGGCCAATTTGACATACTGAAGCAGAACCAAATAACAAGAGTAATACAGCACATTAGCACTCAAAGCTTTATTTAAGTGCACACCAAAAGTTTTAACAAAGTTGGTTTTTTTAATGTTTTAAATATATCAAATATGTATCCTACAAGTAAATTATAATTAAATATATTTTTATTAAAAAGATAGGCTTTGATTTTGCACCTGTGCAGCTTTGGGTTTTTTTATACCTATTCTCTGTTTTCCTTTAATGCAAGCAGAAATTTCTCACTCAAATACCAGAAAAAAAGTGATGAAAGTACTCTAAGACGAATCCTGTCTTTTTAGACAGAGTAAGGACAACATTGCAATACTCCATTATTAAAGGCAGCAAATGCTAACATTAGTAAAATAGAAACGCACCCAAACATACACAGATTTTTTTTTTTGTTGCTCTGAACACCAGAAAAACATGAAATCTAAATAAAGCAAGTCAGTAAACAATGTCTAATATCATTCATTTCTCATTGAATCTATACATTTTTGTGACAAATTAAAAATATGATGACTATAACATGGACTACACTATATACATATTTTAAAAAGGAAATGAATGGTTTGTACGCCACCAGTCAAACTTGTGTTCTGACTTTGCAAATCTCTATATATACTCCAAGCTTTAGTCCAGTGAATAATTCTGCAGACTTACAGTCTGAATATATACTGCTCTTGAAGTCTCAGTTAATCACTGAGAATAATTCTGAGACACAACAAAAATATATACATGCTAAAATACTATCCTTAATTATGCCAATTTTAATAATTACTATATCAGAAGAGTAAAAATTTTGGGGTACGCTAAATTTGACTTTAAAGACTTTTGCAAGGTTTTACATTCATAAAAATTTGAAAAGTGAAAATTCAATGAGATTCTCAGGGGACGATATGATCCAGCTTGCTTCAGCTTATTATATATGAACCAAGAACTCAGCAGCTGAGAATGAACCCTATATCACTGATTCAAAATAGCAAGGAGAGATGCCTGAACTCTCTCAGACAACTGAAATCTATGCAAAAGAAATGAAGGAAAATAAAGAAAAGAGGATGAGCAAAAGTAATTCAACTTCTATACGTAATAGATTAAAATAGGACATGTATACTATTTTATTGTCTCTGTCAGGCTATTTTTCCTTACAGAATAAAGGATTGAGCATTTTAAAAAAAACCAAACACCCAAAACCAAAGAAGATATCCTGACCGTACAAAGAAAATTTTCTAAGAACGAGAACATTCCATCGGCAGAGGAGTGTCATTGAAGGGATCCAGGAAGGACTTTTTCTAAAACATGAAATCCTTTTAGTCATCACTAGGTGTAAAAAAGGCCATAAACTTCAGATCAAGACAGGAATTACAATCATCTTTGGAAACTGATAGATTCATGGACCTACGTGATCTCAAAGATTTTTTTTTCCCGGTAAATAGAGAACAATCACATGAACTCAGGTGAAGTGAGTTTATTTATTTTGTGTAATATGTTCTGTATAATGAGTTCCAGTTTTCAGGACCATCCTTAAGAATATTAAATTAAATAGTCATAGGAAAGTTATAAAATGTTCAAGAATGATTATGGATTTATAAGCATTTCAGAAGGAGTTAACGACTCAGATTTATTATAAGTATACTAGTTAGCATATTTAAGTAGGTAAGCAGCAAATGTAAGCATGTGTTTTGAGTCTTGCTAACAGTAAGGAAATTTAAAATTAATAAACCAAAAAGGTATACATTACTGCCATTGTTAGATTTATCAAAGAGCAACATGAGCAGAATGGCAACTGGACAAGAGACAATTTAGAAGATAAATGGGGGGGGGAATAAAAATCAGGTGTTCTCTGCAGCTTCTCTTCCTAAGCACATCTGAGTTCTTTGCATGTTCATCAATCTGTACCTTCAAGGATGACAAGCAACGTTATTGGGTTACATTGACTGCATTCTCAGTGCTGTTGCTACTTTGATCAATTAAGGCTGCTACCACGAGCAAAGATTTATGTGTCCTCATGTTCAATTTCACTTGCAAGTAGGAAGCTTGGTTTCAGCAAGATATTACCTGGACTGACTTTTTCCGTAGCTGCCTCTGCAGTCATTGGCAGTTCTATACCCTTCCTATTCTGCTCAGAATAGCAACATCAGGCCCGAAATTCAGATTTTCAAGAGCTCAACCAAATCAACATTAAACAATCCACACAAAGCCAGCCTTCTACTTCTATCTCAGACTCTTCAAGAATTAGCATATGTGTATATCTCTAATTATTTTTTTTTTTATAGCATAAGCATATTATGGCATAGACAACAGAATATGAGAAGGAAAGCATCATGTCTATATACAACCGTGGCACCAGAGCATAAATTAAATGATATGGTTTCAGAAATGGTATCACTTGATCTATCAGCTGATAACACAAAAGTACTTTGCAACTTAGATATTCACAAGTTAAAGATGCAAGAGAGTTATAATTAGTGATCTAAATGCTTAACAATAACGACAGGGTTTTTTTTCATTTCAGCATGGAAGATTAGTAGGGAAAAACAATAGTTATGTTAGTTAAACCTTACAAGCTGTAATTAAAATGAACATGAACATGCTGAAGATAACACAGGCATAACTCCCATGAGCAGAAATAATATCCTTCTTTCCTGAGCCATTTTTGGCATTTACTGCTATTAAAAAAAACCACTTTGTAATAAATCCAAATGTTGTTCAAAAAGGATCTTGGTATTTCTCTCTAAATTTCCTTGAAGAATGGTCAAGGTAACCATTAACATAATTGAGATCCATTTTAAGTAATCTTTAAAAAGCAACAAAAATCATGCAATGTACTTTTCTTAGTCTGTTTGGTTTTGTGGTTGTGCACATACAGAACATGAATGGTGAATTTTGTTGTGGTTCTTCCTCCCCCACCCCCCGACTATAATTCTTTGATTTTGCTTTAGTTTTATTTTAGTTCAGTCTGTCTTCCTCATTCACTTAGCACAGTTTTGAGATCTTTCCAAGGAAATGAAGGATATAATCCCTCTGTACATCCTCTGCTTCTCTGCTGTCACCTGGCTCCATACAGTTGTCTTGCTTTCAAAGTCCTGTGCCTGTTCAGTTCTTTCTCTGTAGTTCCTTATGTGTTACTAATTACCAAGATCAAGAGAAAGTAAAGCATTTTTCAGCAAGGCCTCTAACTCAGCAATATGGACCTCTATTTATGTATTTATTTCTTTTTACCAATACTGAATGTTATCACCACAAAATCATTGACGACATATACAAACTTGAAAATTCCATTAAGAAGGAAAAAGAGACTCCAGAGGTTAAGCAAAATAAGTTTCACTGGATTGTGCAGAGGTGTGTATTCCAATCTCCACAGCTCCATGCAGAGAAACCCCAGTATCTAAAGTAGTTAGAAGAAAGTATATATGTCCTGGAGTTCAAAATCAAAAGCTGAATTTTGAAGTAACTTATACACCAAAGTACAAGATACCCCACAGCTAATGAAAAATGTGAATTTGCAAACATACTGAACCCAGTAAAAGCTAATTTATTTACTTAAAGCTACCCCAATGAATGCTTTCAAGCTTTTGTCATACCAAAGCAGGCTATTCCATGTATCATTTCCCAAGTATTCTCAGAGGATAGCTACACAGAAATCCCCCTGCAGAACTCAAGGTGACTACATAGACATAGAAACGGAGTGATATTTAAAGGAAAGCTTAGCAAAGAATGTACATGATTACAAAAGAACCAAGGAGCCAAAAGAGCCAAGCAGCTTGCAAACTCGCAGAAAAATATTGCTTAATGCAGACAAATATACAACAGAAAGCAGCCAAATGTACACCAGAACTTAAGAGTACAAACACAATGCAAGTGCTATATTTCTGTGGTTTTATTTTCCTGAATTCATTAAAAATTAAAATAACCATGAGATACACGAGATCTAAAAGGAGTTCTCTTCGAGTTAGTTCAGAATAACTAATGCTCTATTTTGCTTATTTGCCCTTTTCATGTAAAGAGAGTCCAGAGCTTCAGGTATACACTCAGAAGAACCAAAAATGTCTTTTTTCTGAACTGTAGTAAATACAGTGTGTTGTTCACTCTTACACATAACAGGTGTAATGGCATGTTGTGGGAGTACACCTGAATCAGTCCTTTCTTCAGGAGGTACTTCCACAAAGCACAGCCCTGTATTCTGAAAAGATGCTACCTTTGCTCTCAAAACAATAGACCTATGTTTGCATAGCTCCTTCTCCAAACTAGGAGGGGGTTGACTATCAGCAACAGTTTTAACACTGTTTCCAGTAGCTCATCTCAGATTCCTTGTTATAAATGAAATCAAGAAAGATCAAGAAAGACTTGTTGGAGCAAAGGATATTTCTCACTTAAAGGGTCTGTAAATACTTCCAACACCAGGTATTGTTCACATGTTAAAAAAAATACGGAAGGAACAAAGTACAGCTTAAAGACAAATGTTATTGCAGCCCCGCCTGGTGCTCAAAACAAAAATTAGTGCGAGTAAAGTCTGAAGGTTGTTTTTTCAGTGCATTTAATAGAACTATGAAGATTGTTGTTGAAGCTATCCTTAGAAAATATCTGGTTTTAAAGCTTCTATAAACCATCTACAAACAATATGCTTTAAAAATACAAAAAAACCACATTTGGTCTTTGGACACCTTAAAATATAAACTTTTCTAACTAAAAGGTTTTAGGAAAAACATTTGCCTTGCTAATACTACTTGATGTATGTGCCCTTGAAGAACAGGCTTCTTGTAAAACAGAGACGTTTCACATTTAAATTTGGTCTTTAACGTTGAGATCCTTCTTTTCAGTGGAAAATTTTCAGATGTAGCACCTTATTTTCAAAATTATCAAAGACTTAAAACTCAATCAGACACATTCAGATAGCAGAGTCTAATTGCTTAGTATTTCCAAAAAGCACGCAAACCCTTGTTTTCTTTAACTTCATTGTAAGAGGTGGTTGGTCAGCACCACTGGCTAAAGACCTAATGTTTCAAAAGCTTTGTGCCTCAAATTAAGGCAACAAAATTGAGAATTCATTTTTTAAAAGATAGCTCTCTGATCTGACAGTACATGCCTGGAAAAGACTTGAGTAAATTCTCTACTGACACCAAGGACTGATGAGATAGAGGATTTGCTTAATCCGCCTGCTGTAACTCAAATAAATTTCCTTTAACAAATTGTTGTGTGTTAATACTAGAATGTAACAACAGAACTTACTTTTGTTGTATGGTAAGCCAAACAAATTACTAAATTACTTCTTGCTTTAACTAAACAATATCATCCAGTTTGGAGTTACGAAAAATCTAATACAACTGTGGTAAATTGTTCCAATAGCTCATTTCTTCACTGTTTTAAAAATATGCTCTATCACTAGTTGGAATTTAGCAAAGTTTGACATCTGTGGATTTTGTTGTCTGCTGCACAGAAAAATCATACGCTATTAAAATTTCATTGCCCATATAGGTGCTTATAGATCGCCTGTCTTCATTACCTACTATTCTTATATAAATTACAAATATTACACCAGCAATCAATCCACAGTACTTCACTGGAAGCTCATCTGTTGATAAAAATCCCTGGTTGTTTTCCCATTTTAAGGCTTAAAACAAATTTGGCTCTGAATCAGCCTAAAGTAGCTTGAGGATTTTGTATCATTCACTTTTACCATCAATACATGAAATAGCAGTAATATAACCTTACAGAAGTCTGTTATAATGTTATTTGCACCTTTATAGATCCTTATTTGGTCTTCTCATAAAAACCTACTGTTAACCTGATACATATCAATGGATTTGAGCTAATAATATTAAGCTCCCTCAAATCTTTATTAATCAACTCTTCTATCAGCCATTCCCATGAGTTTGTCCAAACCTGATTTTAGGTTGAAAACTTTTAAATTAACTGTGCCATCCTCTTCCCACTTCAGCATTCTAACATTTTTGAGGGAAATTGGAAGTTTTCAAGATTTTACAGTGCTGCATCTTAAGAGGCGAAAAATCTTCTTACTCATCTTACTTTTCACCTCTCCGACGAGTTTCTAGAAGACACTACAAATTAGTGTCAAATTAACATCCAACAGGGTTTTGATTTTTATTGTATGGGCACACATCCACCACAGACTGGATTATAACCATTTTGCTTTTACCAAGGAAAACCATTCAAAGGATCATTTGATTTTTGGAAAGACTAATTCCAAATTCAATCTAGCCTCTCAAAAAAGAAAAGGCTTAGAAGCAACACAAGTGAACATACTTTCAGTAACCAGCCTATAAATATTTTAGATTTAACTGGGAGCATTTTACAGCAAAAAATAGACACTGGATTCCTGAAGACTCATTTTGTTTCCATGTGAAGTGCACACTTTCACCATTTTAAAGCTGCTTGACTGAATATGGCTGAATCTGAAGTAATTTCTATTATGTCTATTATCCCATGATTATTTTATTCCTTTCTACATGCATTTCCTTGGCTGTTTTGAGCTCCCATATAGCAAATTTTTTGCAGTCCTTTTAATTTTTATTTCAGTCTTTATTCTTTACTTGAACAATAAGTTTTACAACATTTGTTTACTGAAGACCTAATTAAAATTCCCCACAGTTTAATTGAAAAAATCATAATATATTTTTAACTGCGATTAAGTGCCGCCCTGTAAAATCACAGCATTTGAAAAAGAATTTTAAGATCTTAGGCCTTGAGCCAGTAAGAATATCAAGAATAATCTAACCCACATATGACTACATGATGACTAGTCTAAAACAACCTTAGAAGATGACCGAAGGAAAAAAAAAATCTGATATTTTTGTATTGGGATAGGGATTTGAAAAGAAAGTCTACAAGAATATTCTTTTCTTGCTCACATTAGAGTCAATGAAAAAAAAAGAAAAGAAATGATGAACAGAGCTCTTAAAAGTGTATTGAAGTATTTAAGTATGATAAACAGCTCATATTATAGAGAAAAAAAGTATTATAAATAAGATGTAACAAAAATTAATGACCAAATTTATGAAAATAATTTTCATGCAAGTAGTTATTACTGGACTTGATGTTTGAAAAAGCAAAAATTTAGTTTTAAAATACTCCTTTTTTTTGGTCATCAGTGATTTACCCATTTTCACCACAAAAGATTAGGAAGAGACAGAAAATTAAACAGACATATTAATCAAGGCTGCTTGCACCTAAATACAACCCACACAAAAGAAGCAATGTATAGAATTCAGTAGACAGGTAGGCTTCTCAGCATTCCCCTGTGAAAGCTGCAAGAATTTAATGCTGGAATCGGAATCACTGCTTCTCCTCATGAGAACATCAGTGATGGAAATTATTGCCTACACATTGTCTTGCTGATCTCACTATAGGTGTGGGCCTTAATTCATCATTTGTGCTGTAAGGGAGTTTGGTGCTTTTTTAACTGGCCACTTTGGTGTTACATCATGTCTAGACCATGTAGTATATGACATGCCCAGTATGAGGAACTGTATATTCTCCTTGATTTTTCCCATGCCTGATTACTAATTAGCCCCTGTGGAGACCACTGCAAATATAGACATAATTTCTAGTATCTATACTAGCCTGTAACAGTTTGGGTATTTTAGAGCAGCTTCTGTATCTTCATACAGCATTACGCCATCATGACAGAGCCCATGATCTTAAAGTCCAATTTTTACATATAGTATTTCCCAAATACCTTATTTTGGAAACCAAGTGCTCTTCTTAATATACTTTAAAAAAAAAGAAAAAAAGTTTTTTAAAATGCATTTGCCATTTTGGATAGAAGTTTGAGGCAAAAGGTCATATTAAAGAGTAATCAGATTTGTAATTTTCTATTCCAAATTGTTTAGCAACCTCTGTTTGCATAATCCCATATGTATCAGCCTCCAAGAGCACATTAACAGTTGTATTATCAGGTTGTTATTATAGACTTGGCTTCTCACCAACCTTTGCAGCAGTGTGAAAAAAGTCATTGGCCTCTTGTAGCAGGGCTTTCCTTTCTTCCATACGAAAGCACACTTCTTCTCGCAACAGACAGATTTTCTGATTTGAAAGCTCTAGATGTTCTTTTTCTGTATAGTCCTCCGAAAGCAAGATTTGAAGTGCTTCAGCTTCCAGTTGTTCCACAGTGGAATTCCATTCCTAACAGGAAAAATCCCATTTTAATCAACTACACTTAGAAAAGCAATATACCCACACAATAATAATATAAATATTGGAAAACATGTATCGCATTTATAGGCCTGAAAGTTATTACCATTTAAAACAGTATTTCTACTAGGAGAGATTTCTCAGCAAATTATGGTTTTAATGACAGAGTTTTCAGTGGTGGCATTCTGCATTCTTTGACAGTTTCACAGGCAGAAATAGCAGTTACTGGCGTGTCTGCTGGAAAAAATGGTGTGGATAACATAAAGACAAGAAACTTTTACTGTGTAAGACCACATTTCTATGACAAACAGCCCCTTAAGCCCAACTATTTAACCAAAAACAAATTAAAATATTGCCTCAATAACAGCTGCTTCCAGTAAGACAATTTCCATAACCATTTAAATAAAATTACTTTCCCTTACAGTGAGGTGTGCTGTCATCCTTGACATTCTCCGTTGTATGTTTTCCCTGATTTCGTACACAAAAATACAAGTCCAAGTCCATTCAAAGCATGCCTCTGCCTTATCTGACCATGAACATTCATAGTGGCAGTGACAGAAAAGACGCTTTAAAAAGGAAGAGAATACTTCAGAATTTCAAGCCACGGAATCAGAAACATTACTAACACTTAATTGAGCTAGGAACTTTAAAACTAGGGTGCTTTAAAACACATTCAGTTGAATCAGTATAATTTTACATATAGATATTTTGTCTACATTACACCACTCGGAAACGTATTTAGCTAATCAGAACTGATGGTCTATTTGACTCCTACTTCTTTTTTCAACTATTCATACTGAATCGACTTGTGCTTCCAGTGTACTGACCTAAATTATAGGTCAAATTTAGGGATTAAACCTTCATGAACAAAACTTTTTTCCCTACATTTTTTTTACCTGTGATAAATGCTATCACAATATTCAGTCACACTATCTTCTTTAGGTTATAAAGAGGTATTGAAAGGCATATCAGACTAGATAGCCCAAATGTAAAGGAGCTTTATTTTAAGGGAGTCAAGAGAAAAACATCATTTCATCTCTTTCTGTCTTGCAACTACTGCTTTGGTATTAGTTGCTTCCTTGTTTTTGCTGTGGTTTCATAGAGAAAACTATAAGATAGTAAAACTGTTACTTTATCCCTGCTGTGCTTGTCAACACTTAAAATTGGTGCCTTATTATGCTGTTCAAAACAAAAGGATCATTGGACACTATACTGCAATTTCCCATGCCTTAGGTAGCATATTTCCTTCACCTTTTCTGGTGATGAGCTAAATAAGAGAAGAACCTTTCTGAAATTCATTTAGCATTTTCTTCCACAGATTTGTATCATATGTCTGATAAAGCAGACAGAAAAATATTTATAAAGCAAGACATAATTTGTTTCATTAAAACACTCTGAAGTGTGCATATGGCATAACAAGATTACAGGGTACATTCTTTTATTTTCATCATGCTTCAAGAATGTTAGTCTCTTGTTGTTTCTTTTTAATGAAATTATTGCTAGTAGAAGATGCTTTTTTGGAAGTTTTCCCAAAAGAGGTAATCTGATTATTCACAGATTTTTCATAAACAGCAGCAAATCTAGTTCCCTCAGTCTCCCACCATGCTGCTTTATCCTTCTTTGAAATACAGTAAGCAGGAGTAGACTTAATTTGGTTTGTGTAGTTCAGTGCATTCCTTTTCTGACATTGTCCGCTGTTGTGACAACAACTGGTATGGTAAAAACACTTGTTCAAAAAGATCAACAACTTATTTTACATAAACTTCTCCACCAGATGCTATTCTCTCTCCCTCCGTATTGGTATGGACTAGATCTGGACCAACAACTGATAGACACCCTACAATTCCTAACACACCCATTGCCCAACATAGCCAAGCTTAAATAGTACGTGGCAATTCCAACAGAAAGGACTAAATTCCTTGCTATGTTCTAGATTAACTTGAACAATTCCGGAAAAAGATCTAGTATTACTCACAGGTCAGCAAAAAACACACCTCAAAATGTAAAACACATGCATTCAGGCCAGACCTATATGTTCTGGCCTTGAACTTTGGATTAATTTCAGCAGCTTCACAGTACATGAATGAAAGTGAAACAGAGGGTATTGACACGACTAACAAAAGTAATTTTAAAATATGAACAAACTCATGGGAATAAGGAATGTGATGTCTGGTGTGATGTTGACACATAGCAATACAATACTCTGAAAAACATGAATTACATAGAAATACCTTTAATCTCTCTCAAAAAACGACCACCAAGGTATATTAAGTGATGAACCTTTCTGCCTGAATTAGTCTATGGTGCTAACTGCTGCAGGTTGTAAGAGACAAACATTTTAGTAAAGTTGAGGAAAAAAAGGATGCACATTTTATATGATAAATGAGACTCTAAACAAGATTTTACCAAGCAAATTTTCATTAAATTAAAACCAATTTCAAAGGGTATTAAAGCTTATTTAGGTATTAAGTAAGTTTTTTGAGGACAAAAAAAAAAAAAAAAAAGAGAATTCATGCTAATGAACATAAAAGGACTGCTAACACCTTCACTGAAGTAGTAGAAATGTCTCAGATTAGACTTTTTGATCAGTATCCTATTTCTGTGCAATACAACATTTCTTCATCTTGAAAATCTGTTGAGTAGGAAAAGGAAAGTTATGACAATCCTACTGAGTTTGAAAGTCATTTTTCCACTGTGGTGAATACTCTTCACCTTTCTGCCATGGAAGGAAGACCTAAGTAGCTGTAAAAAAAAATAAAAATCTATAGATCTGCATTAATGCCTTATTTATCTTTTCCACGTGAAATCTACTTTTGTTTTTAACTTTTATTATAGCTTTACCAATTAGAAAAAAAAAGGCGCCAGCATAAAATAATTCAACAGTGGTAAAATGTTTTCAGCAGATTCTAAGTGGTTTAGTAAGCAAACTAATTCCACTTATTTCAACAAATTTAACTTTGTTCCATTCTGAAAAAGAAAGATGGGTCAGAAACCCAGCATTCCATTGAGAACTGTGTTCTTGTTATGCTTCAATATACCTGCACTATATGCCTACAAAGATGCAAACCTGTCTCACTCAGGGTAACCTTTCTTTCCTTCCATAAGGGAACCCTTAAGAAAAGCCTTCTCAGAGATTTTTCAGGTTCAGTTTCTCCACAAACAAGCACCTGAAGGCCAAATGTTGCCCACTATATTTCCTTGTATGCTTGTAAAAAATACTGCTGTTTAGAATATCTGCAATGAAATTGCACCACTTTTCAAGAAAAGACTCTAACCCTGCCTCCCCACATAAGTATTCCTTGAGAACTTGAACCAGACACTTTCAGCTTCCTAGAGAAATAAAAAGAGATCAATCTGGAGCACAATAAAAGCATTTTTTTTTCCAATATTTTTAATTTTGTCTATTAATGATAAACAGCTAAAGCAAAAATCTTTCTTGACTTTTTTTCTTTTCTTTTTCTTTCAAATGAAAATTCTGACCACTTCTGAGATCTGGATGCAATAATCTTCAGTGTATACTTTTAATTAAGTAAAACTGTGCACTGTATTACTTAATGCACAATTCCCCTTTCATAAAATCCTGTATTCGTCTCTCTGTCCTAAGTAACATTAACTATTCTCAAAATCCTTATTATTACTGAGAGTCTGCTGTGCTGTATTTGTTCCTTTGTACCTGAACAATTTATCTTGGGAAAAAATAGTAAGGTTTCTCCATACACACAGCTTAATTGGACTATTTATGAATAAGGTGTAGATCCCTGACATCCAATTGTACCAGCACCACAATGTCATCATCTTCCAATACTTGCAGCTGGAATGACTGGTACCAAATACATTCTATGGTCAGATTCTAATAAAAATTTCACTTACGTTTAAACATATAGATGTCAATGAGAATTAGAAAACAACACTGCAGTTGGGAGCTTTTAACTGGGACTAATAACAGTCTAACTAGACTAATAAACAAAAAAAGGCAAAGAAAGTGCAATTGAATATGTGCATTCTCATTTTGTTATTACATGCTATTTGTATAATTAAAAATAATATTTTATGTAAGAATGAAAAATGCGTATTTTAACAGAACAGGAAAGGAAATTGTCTATAGCTAGCTTAGAAGCAGCTACAGAAAAACAAAAACAAAAAATTCTGAGTTGTTTCAGTGTACAATCTGTACACAAGGTGCCCAACAGCAGCTTTTAGGTGATCTTAAAGCAGAGGTCAAACTCCACCTCATTTATACTGAGGCAAGCTTCTTCTCTAACCATTCACACAAGCTCAAAAAACCAATTTGTTATAATAATTTATAGCTTAAAGTATTTCATAAACATTCCAACCTTGCACACTCTGAGGGTATTAAATATAGTTAGATTCATTTGCTATCCTATCCGATCATTACTCAAACTTAGTTCAAATTTCTATAAAATATCTAGCGACAATTTAATTTTCAGGTTTCTATTTATAAGGAAATGTTTCTACACATGAAAAGCCTATATTTTCCATCAACAGCACACACAAACAGTGGAAAAATCTTTGTCAGTTTTTTGTCCTTCAGCCTTCTACATGTTAAATTCATAACAATCTGTCAGCACTAAAATATTTGTTACTCATTTTCCCTGAAAGAAACACAAAGCCTACTATTACCTTGACTTTTCTATTTGTCAAGGAATGCTTGTGAATTCCTCTGACCTACTAAAGACACATTGCATTGTATGTGCTTATACTCAATGTGTTTCCTTAGCTCATGTCACTATTCTTTTCCTTACAGTAGTCAGTCTTTTAAACACTTGCTTTCACTATTCCATTTGGCAAGGAAAATGAGCTCTTTCTAGGTTCCTTGATTAATCAGGTATTTTTCAAGAGTTAGTCAGTTAAAACTGATGAAGTAGAATTATTGTGGCTTTAAGTAAAAGTCTTGAACTTTTTCTGCCTTCAAAAACATCCAGCACAAGCCTGAAAATAAAAGTAGAAAAACCTACAAGTTTATCTTGTTA